TTTTATTTGAYCTAGTTTTCATTTTTATAGCCTGTAATTCCAAATTACAATGTGCTTCTTTTCGCTGGTTTTCGATTTTTTTAGTTCTGGTACAAATATCTTCGTTGATCGTAGTGATAATATCTTCGTCATTGGTAGTAATATTTTCGTCGTCCRTAGAATTTCCCGTATTTATATTATTATCAACTATACAAATATCTTCGTTGATCGTAGTGATAATATCTTCGTCATTGGTAATAATATTTTCGTCATCTTGATTAGTTGGGATAATGGAATTGTGATCTACCAACTTAAGAAGGCTCTCTTCATCATCTAAATCTTTTAAAATATATGGTGGTAGAAATGATGTATCTAAACCAACTTTCATTTTACAACCAAAAAGTGCTTCGTAAGGTGACCTATTTATACCTTTATGATAAGCACGATTTTTCATCAGTTGAATAAATCTTAGACCTTCACTCCACTTTGTAGTGTTATTGTCCCTCATCCATGTCATCAACATATTTTGAATGTCTTGGTTTGCCCGTTCSACACTTCCCTGACTTTGGGAATGTCGAGGTTTTCCATGAACGATTTTTAAATTGGGCCAATATTTTTTTAAGTTAGAAACAATTTGATTGGAAAATTCACGACCGTTGTCGGATTGTAATATAGAAGGTGCTCCAAGTAAAGTGAAAATATCAATTAAATTATAAGCCACTTCTTCGGCAGTTTTTGTCTTTAATGGTTTTATGACGACAAATTTAGTTAAATGGTCCTGATAAACCATTATAAATTTAAAAAGTTTATCAGCATTTGATTGAAAATCGATCAAATCAACTTGACAGCGGCTATTAAATTCACTAGAAATAATGGGTTTCACTACTAATCCTTTTCTAATTTTTTTGTGTTTTAATTGACACAGTTCACATAATGACAAATAAAGATCTACTTCGAAGCGCGTAATATTTTTAAACTTACTATTAAGCTCATACAACATTCTGTCTCGTCCTCCATGTCCTAACGATTGGTGAGCATCATGTAACACATCAAAAACGTCACTTTCTTTTGTATAATATAAAATATTGCTATCATTATTTTTAACAGGATAAATTAGTTTACTAATATTATTGACGACCAAAACATCATATTTTTTAAGTAACCAATAGTCACGTGGCTCTTTTTTTGTTGTTTTCGATTYAGCACTATTTACATCTTTAATTAATTTATAATATTGTTCATCGGTTAAAAATACACTATTTTTCAAGTCACAATGACGCTTCAATAACTCGGCGTTATAACGAACTTTCATTTCGCGCACTCGACTCTCCACGCACGACGTCGACATTTTGTCTAAGACTGAAATGTGAAAATARTATAAGTGTATAAGACTACGGTGACAAAATTATCGCGTTATCTATCGACAGTCGGAATTCTACTTCATTAAATTTATCGATATTACAAATTACTAATGGATTTATATTAGCCATTAGTTGAAGGTACATTGTCAAATATCAATAGGTACTGATAATATGGATTTAATATATTACCTATACATTGTTTGGCATTTCATATAATGCTTAGGTAATTTACACAATTTTATAGATTGCCAGCTGTAGTTGGTGTTATATAGAATTCCTAGACATTTTATAAAATACCAATATTATACACATTGCCGCTAACATATATAAATTAATTTCTTAATTTTAATTATCTGAATATAATTACGTGAGTAACATATTATCTGAAAAAAAAAATATCATAAAATCTTATAAAAACTAAGATTTGAAAATTTAATATTTTAATAGGCATAAGTTTCGTCATTCATTTCAAAAGATGTAAGAAATTAATTAGCACAATTATTTTTTTTATCGATATTTTATTTCAAATTAGCATAAATTTTGCTYAAAACAAAGTTTTGTAATTAATCGTTCAATATTTTAATTAGGTAATACATTTTGAACAATTATATTATCTAGGTATTCTATAAATTGTTAAAAATCGTTGAACATGCGTCAGTCATCAATACAACAAAACAATTAAAAATATAAAATACAAATAAAATAAAGTTTTATATTTGAATTCTCCATACTATAAAACGAATATTTAATATTTATATCACTATACCCAGTGGCGTACCCAGGGGGTGGCTTAGAGGGCTTCAGCCCTCCCCATTGGCCGTGTTATGAAATAAATTTTATATTATAAAATACAAAGTACAAACCATGATATTCCTAAAAACAATGTTGAGTACACAACATATTATCACAGATTAAAAATAATATATATAATCTGTGGTATTATCTTAAGTAACAACGACATAATATTAGCCAAAGAATAAACGTTCCGTATATGGTACHGATATACTATTATTTGATCGGTATGAACATAGTAACAAACATTAAGATACGACAACGACTGTTATCTGTGGTGTACGGTGTACGGCATGACGCACGTGATGCGCGACCAACAACACTATCGCTGATAGTGTTGAGTATCACAATCGTCAATCCTTACTCCTTAGCCTTTACTAAATACTAGCTACTACTTTTTATATTTTCTGTACAGTTTTTTTGTGAATAATGTCTGAGAAAAGACCTAACGTGTTTTCTGTATTCAATTTTAAGAAAAGCAAAGTTGAGTCTGTCGTAAGT